CCGTCCCTGCTCTTCTGCACTCACAGGGAGCACTGTGACTTTGTTTTTCATGGTGATTTGCTCCCTTCTAGCCCAGTCTTCAGCCACTTGGAATTTCTATATAATCAGAAGTTCTACTCAGCTTTACTGAACAAGTGGGAAGCAGAACTGGCACACAAACTCTCCATAGTCTGTAGTGTATTAATCAGTAAAATTCTCCCAGTTTTAAGCAGAGAGTTGTGCTATTTGTCACAGCAAATAAAGTAAGGAAGAATTAGTAAAAATGGGGCAATGCCTGTAATTTCTCTGCATATATCTAAAATATTTTTTATTGTGTGAACTCCCTTTCATCACTTAACATTTTTGTCTCAATTATTTGCCTTTTCTGTGACTGTTTCAGAACAAGGGCTTTTCTGGTCTTGTTCTCACAGCTGATAACTTTTATTCCTAGCATCAACTCTCTTTCCTGCTCACCACATTTTTAAGAAACCTGATTTTTATGATGTGGTATTGCTGAGCACAGTATGAGTGAAGTCTTGCCAGAGATTTCATTACTACTTCCTTACATTTACATCCTACATTTATAGCACTGTGTTGGCTTTTAAATTTATTCCTATAGTTGTTTAGCCATTTATGGACAGAAGGCCACTATTATATCCAAATTCTTGAGCACGTGCTTTCCTCTACTTCATTTCTACACTTTCCTTGGCTGTATTTGTAAAACATGTACTTTAGGAGTATTTTTATTTTGAGCGAGAGAAAACTTTTTCTCCATTTACAAACTTATATGCGAGCAATTGAGCAAGGTTGCCAGGTGTTTTTCTTTCCTTACTTTTTTTCTCTAGGGTATTATTACATGGAGAAACCATGGTAAGGAATTACCATCTGATCTGAAATACAGGTTTGTCCTACACTGAGTACCTGATCAAATGAACCAAGTACATCATCAGAAGATGGATGGTCTTGTGGGTAAGGCTCAACCCCCATACACTGAACTTTATAGCACTTCTACAGGCTTCCTGTGGGCTTGTATATTTTGAAGAAAATGTTGTGTCATGAAGAAATCCTTGGGTTAGTGCCAAACCAAGGCTGCATGTCCACAATGAATAGTGCAGTGCTGGAAAGACATATTAGTTTGAGACTTAAAAGCAATACAGTTGTACTGGCCTGAGTATAATGAGCTTCTCAGCCAGGTGTGTTAGCTGTAATACAGCACTGATGGAAATATCAGCTACCAGTTTTCAAGACAGCCTGACCGTGGGTCCACTCAAGTCAGGCAGTTTTGAATATTCCTTGTTCTGCCAGAGGGATATTTGTTCAGGGACTTTCAGCAAGTGATTTCACTCTGTTGCTATTACTGTGCTTCCTATTACTCTTCTACAATATTATTATTTTGGAAAACTGATGGAAATTAGTTGCTCTCTGCATCTGATCTATCTAGAAATCCCTTTCTTTTTATGTATTAGAATAGGACCTTGAGTTGAAGCACTCAACAAGAAGATCCTATATAAATTCTTCTGAAACTGTTTTGAGAAATGTACTCATAAGTCAAGAGTCACTATAAACATATTTACATACGCTGTCAAAATGGATAAATTAACCTTTCAAACCCCTGTGTCAGTCTGAACTTCATGATGGTTTAGGTTACAAAGCTGACTGGAAGCTGTATGGGAATGCAGTATAATATCCTATCACAAGCCCAGGCTAGTGATGGCACGTTGCCATTCTGAGAAGCAAACAGGCACATTTCTGTAAGGACAATGAATGGCTTTTGCAGCAAGTGGTGAGAATTGTGCCATTGCACAGTCAGCAAACATCCCCCCCAACTCCGGGGCTACAACTGGGCCACTGCCGTGGGCAGGAGAATGACAAACGGTGTTCTGAAGTGAGCCCACACCAGAGATGAGGCTTCACTAGCAAGAACTGGTGCAACATTTCTCAGCAGAGTGTAAACTGAGGCCATCTGACATAACCTCAGCCACGGGGTTTTTTTGGCCTTGGCCTGGTATTATTATCTGTAGTTGTCTGTTGTGCAGGCATTGTCATATCCTATTTACTCATGGCCACCTTTTGTCTTTTTCTTCCCAGTTAGACTTGCCTAGACTTGCAGATCATCCTGGAAGGAGGTACACTAGTTTAGACAAGGCTTTACTCAGTTAGACACCCTGAAATATAGAATACTCTGCCAAGTTCTTGTGTGTACATGTTGTGAAAGTATTACTTAGTTACATTCAACTTCAACAATAATTTGGACCTTCTTTCCAGCTCTTGACAAAATAAAACAATTTTTAATTGATGAGCATTGGAATGAATGAAGTCTGAGTTCCCAGACTTCCTAAATACAAGGGTTACTATGTTTTTCTCTCTTGCTATTGATCAAAAACTGTTGAAGTCTTTTTTCCCAGCTAGATGCAAATTTCTCTTTTGCCTGAGCACTATACTGTCCAGTAAAACAAGAGTTCATGCTCTAACATTTCCCTCCACCAGGAAACTTGGTAATGAAGTCCTGTTCCTCTTCTTGGTTATCATATGCTGCCGTATTATTGGAAATGTGCCACCATAATAAGAAATTAAGGACAATAAACAGACTGGAAGCACACTTGAAATCTCTCTTTCTTAAGAAAACAAGAAAAAATATAGGATTTCTATCTTATATGAAATTCTATATTTTGATACACATTCAAATGAAAAAAATTGAAGTCCTAAACTTCACAGGGAAATGAAAATCATACAGTCTTTTGATTAAAAAGATTTTGTTTTGTTTCTAGTCAAGGTTACCTTTAAACCTGACAGAAATCCAGTGGTGATACCCTGAATTGACCACATATTAGAGGCAGACCTCTGTAATTTCTTTCTCCATATACTGAGTTGCCCAAAAAACCCGGACTTTTTTTAGTGGAAAAAAAGCCCCACTTAAAACATCTGCAAAAGCAAACAAAAACCCTACAAATTTGTATTGCCTTAGAATATAAATGAGAATAGTGATTTTCCAGAGAAAGATCAAAGTCAGTAGATCAGGAAGGAGGACTTAATATTTAAATCTCCCTTGCACTCTGCATCTTCACTTGCCCTTTGGATTTCAGTTCACTTGTGGGGTTTATGAGTCGCAGATCACTCTAACCAGTCCCCTCTCAGCAGGGCTTCTTCCAGCGCTGCACAAGTTTGTTGCTGTCTCCCTCCTCTCTGCAGGAGTCCCTCAGTCTCTGCTGCTCTGGCTTGCAGTTTCTGGCTGTGACTCTCCCCCTTCTTGCAACCCTCTTGACTTTCATTGCTTTTCTCCCTGGCTTATCCTCAGTTCATCCCCAGGAACAGCCCAAATCAAAGCTCCCACCCGACCCTGGCATTTTTGTCTAAAAGAAATGCAACGCGAGAAAAAGGAACAAGCAGATGAAAGAGAGTATTTCCTTCAGAGGCCCAAGGACTCTGCAGTGCTGGGATGTTTGCAGCAGGGTTCTGTGGTTTGGGTCCTGACCTGGGTTGCCGTCTCCCAAACTGGGAACAGTGTCATATCCAGCAGCTCCATCTCTGGGAACTCCCCAGGTGCATGCGAAAACTGAGGAAGGCACCAGTGCAGACAGGAGACACCAGTTTCCTGGCAAACAGGCAACCGTGGTGTTGGATAGAGAAGTAACAGTAGCCCCACAGAACTTGCTTGGTTTGTGGTTTCTAAACCCTCCTGAAATGCTACGCTTGAGTAAGTCCCAACCAAAACATTTTCAAATGACGTCTCTTTGCAAACTGCTTGCGCTACAAGTTTTATTTTAACAGAACTGTCTTCTGATAGGGAAGCGTTTCATATGCAATTTCTTTAATTAACTCTAGTAAGCACATTATGTGCTTGTGTTCTGTATTTCCCTTTCCCCCCAAACTGCTTCACTCTCAGCAGTTAACTGCCTAATTGCTCCTGTAATGCCTTCTTAATTCTTGTAAAGATCTTATCACTTCACCTGTAGATTTCTGAGTAGCCTCTTTTTCTAGTTGATCCTGTAGTTCCTTCATTGACTCTTGAAAAGATCTTATCACTTCACTTGTGGATTTCTGAATAGCCCATCTGTCTTTTTATGTTGTTTTAAGGACAACACATAAAACAGCACCTACAAGAAGTTGTCCTACTCCAAGGCCAGACTTCAAGAGGGAATAATCCCCATATAACTCACCCTGAGGTGTCATTCCTTTTGACTCAGTCATTAACCCAGCTCAGGTTAATGTCTTTCTCCCCCTTAACCCTCTGAGGGTCAGCTTGACTCTCTCCTGGAAAACCTTTCAACAGGTACCAGAGAACCTTTCAACAGGTCCAGGCTATACCAGAAAGCCTTTCAACAGGTCTGATGTGCCCGGGTCACACCGAGAGGACAAAAATTATCACTATAATTTCATAATGAAGGGCGGTCACCATTTGACTCACCCTCGGTTATCAGTTTTGGACTACACCGATCACTACGTCCAAAAGATCCTTGTCCGTGATGCCAAAAATGTTACAACCCACCCCAGAAAAGGGGGGGGGGGGGTAACCCAGGTTCTTATTAATAAATCCCTTAGGATGGATTAGAGTGAAATGACACTAAATAATTGGTGTTTGAAAACTTATATATGTAGGGTTTATTTTAGAACAATTTTGTTTCAAAGGTAACAGGTATGTTGCCATTTTGGGTGTTATCATCTACAGCAATATGGCATAAAGATAACCTTTAGGAAAAATGCATAAGGGAGAGAAAGGAAAGACAGGACAAGGGTAAGGGAGAGTAAGGGAAAGCAAAGCTGAGAGTGGAAAGATGTCTATAGTCACCGCCCACGGGGTCCAGAGATGGAACTTGGGAGTTGCAGCTCCAATGTCTGTCAGTTGAAGTGGTGGCCTTGATCCACTGCGGGTGGGGGAGGGAAGCCCCCACACTCCAAGAAGTTATGAGTTATTATATCCATGGACAGTGTCCCGGGCCGTGCCTTGAGCCTCCAAGGTCTGCTGGGCCTGTGCAGAGTTCCCGTGAGGGGCCTGGTAAACACGTCTCTTCTCATCTTTTCAGGGCTTGACACCTTCAGCAGCACTGGCGGGGGGATGGGTCCAGCTGCCTCTTCCCAGCCTGCAGAAGTCCCCTGGCAATCCTAGAATGCGTAAGTCATGAACCATTTCAGTCTCTAACAGCACAAGGTAATGGCTGTCGGGATTTTGAAGGTATGTGTTGTATGAACCATAGTGATCATTCTGAGTCCGTTCATGCCAGCACTGACAAACTAAAGGAACGAACCAAACAGCTATGCAAAGATGATAGCAATGACTTTTGGGGATTGTTTACCTGGCTGAGAGGTTTTGGAACTGAGCCTTGGATCAAATGATTGTTGGTGTTGGGATTTCATGTGTTGGAAGTATTTGTTTTGATTTTGATCTGTGTTCCTTGTTTATTATCTTGTGTTCAACGAATGATTGATCATAGTCTTAATCATGTTATGACCATGCAGATGAATACAGTGTTTGCCCTGCAGCTGTTAAACAAAACAGGGGGAGATGGGGTGGATCATGGACCAGAGCAGAACTTAAAGGGTTACCGAAGCAGAGGACATTGCCAGAATGAAGAGAATGTGGCAGAAGGTGGGAGGAACTGTCTACAGTGTGCGTGGAGCCAAAGGTCGTGTGACCCAAAACAAGATGATTGAAGAAGAAAGCGTGTTGAAAACTGATAGGTGTAAAGATGGGCATTAGTTGTTAATAGGTAGAAATATGCTCACTGTAATTTTATAGGGCCAGGTATTGCTTGTTGATAGGTTATAGATGAAACTAATTCTTCTAGAAATAGAGGCCTGAAATAAATAAATTATTCTCTTGCATCTTACTAAGGGAGTCCATGCCTTGCTATGGACTATATTTGCTACAGCTGCCCCTGGGGCATCAGAAGTGGTGCTGAAGCCTCTTTCAGCCCAGCCCCGGGTGCAGTTTTCTCATCCCCTCACCGAGTGCCCACTCCCCCAGCCAGCATTGACCAACCAGGGTGTTTGGCACACTTGATTTGGTGGTTTGGAGAAACAGCTTTGGGTTGGCAGGCGGCCAGATAACCTCGAGTAACAGCCCTGGCGAGGTGCCCAGACTGGCAGGGGCCAGGGGATCGCTGCTCCACGGAACCAGCTGGAGCTCCGGGTGAACCCGAGCTGAAGGGTCTGTGACCTGTGGATGAGTCCGGCATAGAGCAGCCCGGGAGGAGCCCACACTGGAGCAGAGGATGCCCAAAAAAAGCCGAGAGCCCGTGGGAAGCCCCTGCAGAGCCGTGGGAGTAAAGCTCTGGTTTCCAGGGCTGCCCCCCGCCCCACCGACTTCTTGAGCACCTCCTCAGAAGCGCCCCCAGACTGCGATGGAGGGAAGAACTGCAGCTGTGACTGATGGGCACAGGGAGGAGAGAGACAGCCAGCAAAGAGGGCTGGGGGCGCGAAGGAATAAGCTAAGACGGTTACGGAATAAAGAACTTGTGCCGAGGTTTCTTAGTCGATCGGAGCGATCTTGTGGCGCTTCTCGGCTCGGCGGGGCCGGGGAGGCGGCAGTGGGACACGCGGGGCCGGGACTGTGCGGGCGGACCCAGCGTGGAGCCCGAAGGTTGAGCGGACCTGCTGGGAAACAACTTCCTGTGCCCCCCGGTGCCCGCGGGCTCGGCAGTGCAGCTCTCCTGGTGGCAAGGGGCGGCGGAGACCCCTCAATGCGGCTCCTCACTCCATCACCTTCTCCAGTGCCTCCTCGCCGGTCCTTTGGTGCAGCTCTTTCAGCCTGGGGCAGCTCTTTTATTGTTTGTTTTTTTGTTGTGTTCTCTGTTATTCCGTTCCCAGCTCCCATCTCCCCGCCCTCCCCATGAGGCTCTTGCAGCACCGCCGCTCCTCACCCGGCCCGCGGGGCAGCTCTTTAGTGAAACAGAGCTGCGGGGACCCCGCGGGGCAGCTTTTCATTCTATTTACCCTATTCCCTGTCATTTATTCTATTCTCACCCCGCCTGTCCCTGGGTGCAGCTCTTTCAGACAGGGGCGGTGGAGACCCCCCGTGCGGCTCTTTTAGTATATTCGACTGTATTCTCACTGTATTTCCTCTATTCTGCACCCCCCCGTCCTGCGGGACGGCTCCTTCAGTGCCACGGGCGGCGGGGACCCCTCGGGGCGGCTCCCCCAGGGCCCCGCCCGCCGCCACCGCTCCCCGGGGCCCTCCCCGCTTCCTGCCGGGATCGGACACCGCCGGCGGCCCCGGCCCTGCTGGGCTCCGTCAGCCTGAGGAATTATTTAGGGCACCAAATGATCAGACAAAAGATCTTCATCAGAATTATTTACTGCATAATATAAACCTAAAACTGCCAGTAGTACAGGATAAGATAGGACAGTGTTCTATGCTAAAGCAATTGTTGAAGCAATTCTACTAAAGCTGGCACAAAAGCAATTATTATTAATTAGAGATGGATGTAACTCCCCTAGACCAACGCTGGTGGGGAGATCTCTGCTCTCAACCTCCAGGAGTGACCTTGAGGGGGTCCCCAGCTGTTGTGAACTCCCAAAAAGCCAATTTTCAAACCTCCCATAAATTTGCTCCAGAATGAGAGAAGTTTTCAGACAGGCAAACAACTCAGCATGGGAGAATTATATCAAAATTCCCTTCACTCTGCCATTTTTATTATGAATGTTATTGCTGTTCTTACTGTCCAAGTATAAGCTGATCCCCAGGGGAGACTGTGTGATTTAACCCCTCAAGCACTAAATTCCTTCCCATGTGCCAAGGACACAGGTTTGTTGTTGCCTCCAGCAATATCCCAGGCAGAGGAGCGGTGGCGGTGTCACATCATCACCCAGTGACTTCATCTACTGCAACACCAGGAACGGGTAACTGAGGAGATTTACAGAACGTGCTCTCTGCCTGAATACAAAATAATATCGCCTTTAAAACAATAGATTAAGGAGGTTGCACTTTTTAAAGGTGCAAGGGACACTAAATTCAACACTCATAGTTGAATAAATAACACTACAATAAATACTGACATCAGAAAAGCATTTATTTTAAGTACTGAAAACCAGAAAAGGGTCTTTCCACATGGGTGTCCTGTCATCCATAACTATTAGGGAAGAATTCAATATAATAAAGAAGTATATAACTTTTCTTTCCATCAAGGTGAGATTTTCTAACATTTCACCGACCTAGGAAGCAAGAATTTGGCACAGAATTAATACTGGAGAAAAATGAGACCAGTGAAACATCCTGAGCTCAGGCTAACCTGACTGTGCTGGGGAATCAGAGCTTTCACCATGGGAAATGAACTACTCTGAAACAGTGGGAAGAAAACAGGAACAAAGGCTGAGTTCAAATGCTCAAGAGTAAACAAATCCTTCCTCACCAAAAGGTATTAGCTACCCTTAACTCATCTCTAGATATCCATAGAAATAGAACTTAGGCAGTTTTTCCAGGGCTGAACAAGCTCATTCAAGGATGAAGGAGTGGGACTTCTGTGGACACTTGTGCTGATTTCTTTGGACACTTGTGTTCCTTCAGAGAGTCCCTGGAAACACTCTGCTGTTCATTCCCAGTGCCACCAGTGCCTGGGTCCTGTCTGCAGCAGCAGTTTGCAGTGGGATGGGAGAAATGCTTTTCTGGCCTCTGGGCTGGACACAGGCACAGCCTGACCCTGAACCCAAAGGAAACAAACACAAATTCCAGGCTTTAGCTGGAGCAAGGTTGGGGAGGTTTCCTGAGGGCAGCACTACACCAGACTGTTTTGTGTGTGTGTGAGACAGGCAGAACCACAAATACCTGCACACCCCAGAGCAGTCAGTGTGGTGCTGTGCCTGCTGCTGCAGAAACCCCGAGGGAACAAATCCAGGCAATAGTTTGGATGCATTCATTTCTCTGTGTCAGTGGAATAGAATGTTCCACAGGAGCTCTGTCCCCCTCTGTGGCACCAGGTGGCTCAAAGCTGAAGGGGGGGGAATCAAGTGCAAGTTCCCTTCTGAAGTGTGTTCCCTAAGGAGGACACTTGCCTTATTATTGCTTATTATTTGTAATATCTTATAGATCTATCATACGACACCAAGGATGGATTCTATAGAATATGTGCCATAGATATTTGGGTTGGGTCTGACTGAGCTGCGGTTCATTTCCCCACAGCAGCCCTCCCAGGGCTGGGCTTGGCATTGGCAGCTGGAAGGGTGTTGAGAACACCCCAGTGTTTTGGCCACTGCTGAGCACAGCACCAACACTGGGACATTCCTTCCTTAGCTGCGGGCAAGACCCTGTGAGAGGACCCAAGTAGGCCAGCTGAGCCCAACTGACCCAAGGGACATTGCAGACCATGGGAGGTCAGCTCAGCTCTAAAAGCTGAGGCCCGGAGCAGGAGGGGGGCATTCATTATCTAATGGCTGCCTGCTGAGGAACCGTCCCGCCCTGCTCCTCGGGAGTGGCCAATCATGGCTGCTCATGGGAAGCAGAGAACAAACCCTGCTGTCTTTTGCTTTAAATAAACTGTCTTATCTCAACCCACAAGATTTTTTTTTTCCACCTTACTCTCTCCCCTGTCCTGCTGGGAAGGGGAGTGATAGAGCGGCTGGGTGGACACCTGGTGTCCAGCCAAGGTCAACCCACCACACACCTGAACACTTCCAGAGACTCCACCACCTTCCTGGGCTACTTCTTCTAATGCCTGAACGCTCTCTCAGTGGAAAAAGGGGGTTTTAATACGTAATCTGAGCCTCGCCTGATGCAACTTAAGGCCATTTCCTCTCTTCCTGTCACTAAAGGCTTGGCAGAAGAGACCGACCCCCACCCAATTAAAACCTCCTTTCAGGTCATTGTAGAGAGCAGTGAGGTCCCCCCTGAGCCTTGACTCAATAAGCCCAGTTCTGTCAACCATTCCTCAGTAGATGTGTTTTCCAGAGCCTTCCCCAGCTCCGTTCCCTTCTCTGGACACGCTCCAGCCCCTCAAGGGCCTTTTGGCACTGAGGGACCAGAACTGGACACAGCACTCCAGGTGGGGCCTCAGCAGTGCCCAGCACAGAGGGGCAATCAGTTCTCTGCTCCTGCTGACCACACTCTTCTCCACAAAGGCCACGATGCCCTTGGCCTTCTTGCCCCCTTGGGCACACTCTGCCTCATATCCAGCCACTGTCAAGCAGCACCCCCAAGTCCCTTCCTGCTGAGCAGCTCTCCAGCTCCTCTGCCCCCAGCCTGGAGGATTCCAGGGGATTGTTGGACCCAAGTGCAGGCCCTGACACTTGGCCTCATTGATCCAGCCTGTCCAGATCCCTCTGCAGAGCCTTCCTGCCCTCCAGCGCATCCACACTCACACCAACTTGGTGGTGTCCACGACTTTACTGAGGGGGCACTCAGGACTCTTGGGTGCATCCCATGTGGGCCCAGGCACTTGTGGGGGTGTCATTGGCAGAGCAGGTCACTGACTATTTCCTCCTGCATTGTGGGGACTTCACTCAGCTCCCCATCAGCAGCTTCCAGCGAAAGCCTGCCTGCCAGGTGTCCAAGGGGTCAGTTCTGCTGCCCCCTCCTTCCTTCCCCCACAATGGAAAACTCCCTCATTTTGTGTCCCTGTGCCCCAGACGGCTCCAACCACCACCTCACCCACCAGTCCCAGAATCATGGAACGCTTTGGTTTGGGAGGGGCCTTGAAGAGCATCTCAGCACCGCCAGAGTCAAGAATTCCTTCCTACTATCTCCTCCAACCCTTCCCTCGGTCCATGTGAAGCCACTGCCCCTCATCCTGTCACTCCAGACCCTTGTCCAAAGTCTCTCCATCTTTCTTGTTGACTCCCTTCAGGCACTGGAAGGCCACAATTATATCACCCCAAAGCCTTCTCTTTTCCAGAA